CTTCTCCCGAGCCATTGTCCTGCCCGACGGAGCTTGTCCACTGCCCCTCGGAAGGAGACCTTGGCTAATGCAGAGGGGGCCGCGTTTGTACTTCTTCGATGGGGAGTTAAACCCCGATTGCAGCCTCCTATTGTAGCGGCATTGGTGCAACCCCCCCCAGGGGAGTATCGGTGTTGGGTGGGTAATTGACTGGCGGGACTTAACGCTTTTGGAAAGGCTCAGGGGGGCCCTCTCCAAAGATTTTGCTCCAGGAATATTTCCCCTAAGCTAACTCGAGAAAATACTAACAGAGACAATCCTGAGTATTAGGGGTTGGCGCTGGGACAGCTACACTGATGGCTAAAATGAAAGCTCGTTCCCAGTAGGGATGTTAAATATCCCTGACTTGAATAGTGGAGTAGCCTCATGAAATTGTATCTGTTAGTCGACTAGGCCAGTGGCGTGCAACTTTTTTTCATTTGTGACCCCCACACTACGGGGGCCGCCAACAGCCAGATCAAAGTGCCACGCCGCACGGCCGCCAACAGCTGGGCCCAGCTCCCGGCCAGCCGCATCAAAGCACCACGCGTGGCCGGGCCCAGCCCCTGGGCAGCCAGATCAAAGGACCACAACCCCCAAGGGGGTCGCAACCCAGAGGTTGCGCACCACTGGACTAGTCTATAGTCCCCAGGGGCAGGGCCAGCAGCCACTGTATCAGAGGCAGCAGTGTGGGGTGCCAGGTGGGAGCTGGTCTGCCAGTTTAAAAACCAGCTCCCTCCACAGACCAGCGTCTGTCACCCTGTGCTGCTGCTTCTGAGAAAGAGGCAGAGATGGGGTGGTAGCAGTCCCTGACTGGGGGCAGGCGGTCTGAGCTCCTAGACCAGGCTGTCTGCTTGCCTGGCTGGCTCTTAATACATTTGAAGTGCAGAGCTGAAACAAGGATAGGTCCTGGACCCAGCATGAGCCAGGCTGCCTGCCCACCCAGCTCCTAATACAATTAAAATGCAGAGCCGCAGCAAGGGTAGGTCTCGGACCCTTCGTAAGCCAGGACTGAGCCAGGCTGCTGGCCAGCCTGCTAAAAAATTTACTGGCGGGGGAGGGAAAGAAGAAAATGCGTGTAAGCCAGGCCTGTACAACTTGGAAAGTGGCGAGGGCCATATTACTCCAAAGAAAACAGCTCTCCCAAAAAATACTGAACACGCGGGCTAAAAAACCCACATGTCTCTCCACTTGGCCCCCTGGCATTTGTCTCTCCTGCACCCTGCCCCTTGCTGCCTTCCCCTTTCTCCTGACCTGTCCCCCTTCCCACAGCACAAGCCCCTTCTCCTTCCCCTTCCCCTCCCCCTCTGGCTTCTACCTTCCAGTTTGTGGGGCTGCTGGAGCCTTTTTGAATCTGGCAGTCGCTGGCTGTGACGTCATGATGCCACGTCATGCCGGCATCCCACCCTCTGGCTCGCACCCCACCTCTTCGCTCCAGAGCTGCATGTATGCAGCCTTGCAGCGAGAATCGCCGCACTTCCCCCCTCCCCGGTGGCGCTGCGCTCCTCCGCCCGGCCAGGGGATTGGATGGGGCCACGCCGCCTGTAGTCAGCATGGGCTGCACAGTGAGCCCCTGCGGGCCACATGCAACCCTCAAGCCTGTATGTTGTGCAGGCCTGGTGTAAGTGTCAAGTGAAAGTTTTATGACACAGCGAAATCCATAAGCTTCAACAGAGAAAAGGGTTATAAAAGCAGGGTGCTTTGCTATGGAACTTTGGGTTCGTCTTGCCACCAACTCCAGAAGAGCATTGGATTGATCAACCGACAAAGGCCCTGCTCCTCCTCTGTGTTTGATCTAGCTGGCCAGTAGATTGATACAGACTCTGGACTGGTAACTAGGATAGCGTGTGGCGGGACTGTGTTTGTGTATTATGTTTGTGTGTGAATGATTGAAAAGCATATGCAAGTTGTATTCTCATTAAATGTGGCGTACTGCCTTTCCCCCATAAAAGATCTCACATACTTTGTTTAAGCATAACATAAGTCTATAGCATTAACCTAGAAGCAAAATCTTATCGGTTAATTGGTTAATCGACTATACTATTACATCCCTCATTCCCAGTATAGAAGAGCCATTGAGCTGTAATGAGAGGGAACAGGCAATATTCCATGTACAGAAATGTAGTTGTAAGAGTATCTAATACGGAATTAAAACTGCTGACCTATGCTGAGCAGATTTCTTAGGAGGAAAATGGAAGTGTCTGCAGGTGGAAAATGTTAGCATTGTTGGCCAGCATGGTTTGCAATAATATAATTTTGGCCTTGCTGGGTCACACCAATGGTCAGTCTAGCCCAGTTTCCTGTCTTCTGACAGTGGCCAATGCCAGGTGTTTCAGAGGGAACAAACTGAACAGGTGATCCCGCCCATTTTCTGCTTCCTTCTCCTGGCAGAAGTGGCCACAGAACTGCCTTTTTCAGTGTCCACCCATCATTCCCAACAGCCTTGCTTTCCAGTTACGGTGTGTTTTGGGGAAATGTGGCAAGTTGTCTTGGATGAGTGTGACAGTCCCTGTTGCCAGATGGACGTGAGTTGACTGAGGGGCTGTGTATGCACTTGACTATACTATGCAGGCAGTGATATGGGAGAATAACATGGCCAATGGCCATGATTATATTGTGACTAGCAATTGTGGGGTGTCGTTTTACATGTCTCGTGCAAATGGAGTGACCAGACTGCAAGTATGGAAAATCAGGACAGTGGGTGGGTGAATAATTGGCACCTAAATATGACAAATATTGGGACTGTCTCTATAAAATTGGGACATCTGGTCACCCTACAGGCAAACAATGAAAAGTGAGCCAACTCACAATTTTTTCCTTATTCCAAATGGCCACCATATCCTTTTACTGTCAATAGGGGGTGAAGCCAGAAAGATGGCTATTTCCTTACATGCTAACTGCTTGCAGAACTGGGTCTAGCCTTAAAGGTAGCTTCCACTTCCACTATTCCCAGTGAGATTTTAACCAGGCAAAATGGCTGCCACTCTGGTTCAAGTGGTAGACGGACACAGGGACTGCAGGGAGTGGCAGTGGCACTGTGAAAGGTGGATGGGAAGAGTGAGGAGTTGCAGGGGAATATAGATGCAGAGGATGGTGCTAGGGTGGGAGATACAGGGATTGATGGCAGCTCCCTCAGCACTGGGATAGTGGTGAGCAAGAAGGCCAGGTTATAATATTATTTCCAGTTGCCACAAACTGATTATGAATCAGGGGATGTTGGTGCCTGCAGAAGTTGTCACAACGATATGAGAAGTTCCTGTGGAGCAGTGATTTTCAGGGCTGGGCTTATGGGCAGAGCTCTGTGCAGTAGTCTTGGGGCTAGGGACACAGACCTGCCCTGCCTTTGGGGAAAGGCCTAGATCAGAGAGATGTGTCCTAGAGCAGCAGCAGGAGGGAGTATGGTGCTGCTTTGACCTTAACAGAGGAGAAGTTTCTAGGGAAGGAAAGAAGTCAGAAAATTGCTGGCACTGGATCACAGACTGAGAAGTCTTGGGGCAGGAAGGCAGAGAAGCATTGCTGTTATGTGAGGACAATAACAGAAAATAAATGGTGATTCCCCTGTATTAGAGGTGAAGAGAAGGTAAGTGGAGTCTCCCACAGAGGAAGTAGAGTTAGGTGTGTATTTTTGTATGCACTAAAGTAGACGAAGAGGGAGGAAGTTGGAATAAGCATTGGAGCAAGGGCACGGCATTTAAGGTTGATGGGATAGTGTAACCTGGCAATACAGAGGGTGGATGGGCAGCCAAGCATAGATGTAGCCTCCCAATTCAATCAATCACTGTACAAAACTATAGTATAATTGCAGTAGGAAACAAAGCAAAATATCGAGAGTCTGAGACAATGAAAGCATTGGGAGGCATGAGAGACACCTGGCCTAGGATGTAGTGGGGGAGGTGGCTTTACTCAGAATTCAGGCATAGCTGTTCAGAGCAAAGAGAATTCCAGCCATGAACCCATTGTCCTGTCCTTGTGTCCCTTCTGCCTGGAACTAGGAAAACCACATAGTCCTCTTTTTGGGTAGTTTGTCTCTTGTCTAGCACTGAGATATAATCAGGTGTGGCTGGGTCTGGTATCCGACAGGATGGTACTATTCCGAAGGGCAGGCAGCTCCAGCCCTGTGTGTGAGATTACACCAATGGGGTGGGGGTTGTGCACTCTTTAGACTGGTATTTCCCATCTAGCGTGACCAGGGTCATGTTGGTAAGGACACGTCTGTGCTGTTTCTAGAAGTATCTGGTATTATGGCAGTGC